GCATGCAGCAGCAGCTGTTGCGGTGTACAGAGACACCTGAAAAGACTACTTAGGGTTTAGGGTTTAGGGTTTAGGGCCAAACCCTAAACCCTCCTATAAAAGGCCCTATTGGAGCGAGAAAGAGAAGAAGACAATGACAAAGACAAAGACAAGAAAAAAGAGAGGGAGACAAGAGGATAAATAAATAAATAAATAAATAAATAAATAAATAAATAAATAACAAAAGATAAACAGACAAATAAGCATAAAACAAAAGAGAGATAAATAAATAAACAAACAAAAGAATGCAGATAGAAATAAAATAGAGACGTTGAGACAAAACAAAACAAAGCAGAAAGAGAGACAGACAAACAAAAAGAGAGACAGAGGCAGACAAGCAGATAAATAAAGACGAAGATAAACACAAAGATACACACGAAAAACAAAGACAAGCAAAATAAAAAGAAAAAACAAAAACCGTAGACAGCCGCTCAGAAGAGGCCTATGCGTATTGTATCGATGTGAGTAGTATGAGGGTTTAGGGTTTAGGGTTTAGGGCTTTTGGGGTGTATGTCCAGAGGCGAGGCAGTGGGGTGCGCGGTATGAGGGTTTAGGGTTTAGGGTTTAGGGTTTTTGGGGTGTATGTCCAGAGGCGAGGCATTGAATAAGTGCATCTGCATGCTGTTTGTTTAGCAGCATCTGGGGTTCTAATTTAAGTTTTGCTGCTAACTGCATGCAGACATCAATTCTATCGATGCTTAATTTTAACCCTCGCCTCGCTAAACAATTCGCAATATTTCGAGTCATTGCTAGTTGACGCCTCAGGTGTATAGGCACCTGCTGCACCTGCTGCTGCTGCTGCTGCTGCTGCTGCTGCTCTTCGTGCTGCTGCTGCTGTGAAGGCGTTGAAACGCCGTCGCCTGAACCACCAGCCGCTCCCCCCGGGACACTTATCCACAGGAAACCTGAACATACAAAACCCTAAACCCTAAACCCTAAACCCTAAACCCTAAACCCTAAATTCTAAACCCTAAACCCTAAACCCTAAACCCTAATTACTCTATGACCTGCATTTCAAACGTCCAAACCCTAAACCCTAAACCCTCGACCCTTGCACAGTATCCCCTAAACCCTAAGACCCAAAACCCAAAACCCCAAACCCTAAACCCTAAACCCAAAACCCTAAACCCTAGCTGACCGTTGACGCCTAGGATGAGTTGTAAGCCGCACTGAAGATGTCCAATGTGTTTGCTTTGTCTCTTTATCAGCTGCGGAGACACCCGAAGCCCTATACCGTTTTGCAGGCGCCCATAACGCGCACTCCGCGTGTGCAGCAGAATAGTGCCGTCATTCTGAAAATAAACACACATCTTTAGGGTTTAGGGTTTAGGGTTTAGGGTTTAGGGTTTAGGTAGCCGTGCCAAAGTACGGCGGGCCAGTCGAGGGTTTCGGGGATAGAAAGAGGGGTTAAGAGCTAGGGTTTGACCGAATCGTGCTTTAGGGTTTAGGGTTTAGGGTTTAGGGTTTGTCGCCCAATAAACTTTTCAAGGCGGGCGCGGTCTTCGCGTGTACAGTCTGGGGCTAGGGTTTAGGGTTTATTAAGTTATATGAGGGCTTATTAGGGTTTATTAGGGTTTATGAGGGTTAGTGAGGGCTAAGTAGGGTTTAGGAGGGTTTATTAGGGTTTATGAGGGTTTATGAGGGTTAATGAGGGTGAATTAGGGCTTAGAGGGTGAATTAGGGTTTGCGATTGAATTAGGGTTTGAGATCAAACTAGGGTTTGAGATTGCATTAGGGTTTGAGATCGAACTAGGGTTTGAGATCAAACTAGGGTTTGAGATTGAACTAGGGTTTGAGATTGCATTAGGGTTTGCGATTGAATTAGGGTTTGCGATTGAATTAGGGTTTGAGATTGCATTAGGGTTTGAGATCGAACTAGGGTTTGCGATTGCATTAGGGTTTGCGATTGCATTAGGGTTTGCGATTGAATTAGGGTTTGCGATTGAATTAGGGTTTGCGATTGAACTAGGGTTT